CAGAGGGATCCATTGCTGGGTGAGGGAATTGAAACAATAACCCTGTAAACAAACTGTCCGAAGTGAAGGGCCAGAGACAGCCTACAGCAAAGATGGAATAATGCCTTCAAGGAACACCACCTCCTCATCATGGTTTATAACAACTCGATGACGTTCTTCAACATGTTTTAATGATTATCATACCTTCCCGTTCATAAAGGATTGATTTATTATGGTTTAAATTTAAAGAATACTGGTTTCCCAGTTTTGAATCAGGCTTAGATTACAGAACACATAAAAATCAATGACTTTGTTCCAGGCAAGAAAAACATAGTGTTCATTTAAGTGCAAAAAGAATAGTCCTGGGGAAAAATTCCTCATGTGATTCTAAATACTAACCACTTCCCCACCCGCCTCACTGCCTCCCCTCCACCCCATCACCGTCATCGGCACCACCACACTTAACACTTTTATGGCTTCTTAACATTCACAAACTACTTCACATATTATTTATTTTAGTCCTCAAAACAATTTTGTCAAATAGAAAGAACAAGCATAGCTTTTCAGTTTACAAATTGAAGCCCTGCAGCTTAGAGCAGTGAAGGAATTGGCTCAAGATCACTGAACCAGTAAGGGACAGCCCTTCTCCTCTCAACAAGGTTGACTGATCACTTCTAAGTGTCTGTCTCCACCTCACATCTCTCCTTTAGGTCCCAGAACCCACATCCAACCAACTGACTCAATGTCTGCTCTTTGCTGCTCCAAATGGAGTCACAGTTTCCAGGTTGAGCCTTAGTATTTTCCCATAAGCCTGTTTCTCTTTCAATATTTTTTTCCTTCCTCCTTGAAGAGTGTCATTTATCTTTTCAGTTGTGTAAACCAAAAATCTAAGCATCATCTCTGTCCTCTCAGCATGTTTTCTCAACAGGCACATATATTCTACCACCACACCCTATAGCTTCTGCCTTCTGAATATTTCTCAAATCTGCCCACTTCTCTTTGTCGCCACCATGAGCACTACAGTCCAAGCCCCCCCCCCCATCTCATATAGAAAACATTTCCACAGATATGTTCTACCTCTCCTTCCCACTTCCACCCATCCATTCTCCATGCTACAGCCATAGGGATCAGGGAATTCCTCTGCTTCAAATCTTTTGTTGGTTTCCCACTTAATGGTTCCCCGCATCAAAACTCATGTTGAAGTGTCACTGCCAAAGTAATAGTGTTGAGAGGTGGTGGGGTCTTTGAGAGGTGTGTGGGTCATGCAGGCTCTGCACTCAAAAAAGAATCAATGTAGACCTTGGGAGAGTAGGTCAGTTCTTGTGAGAATGGGTCCTCTTTGTCCCCTTACCTGTTTTGCATATGCCTATTTGCCCTTCTGTCATGTTATGGTGCAGCATGAGTGCTCACCAGATGTGATACTCAATCTTCCCTGGTTCTTGCTGTGAACTAATAAACCCCCTTCCTTGATAAGTTTCTCAGTTTTAGATATTCTGTAATAGCAACAGAAAGTGGACTAAGATGCTAGTGGCCTTTAGATAAAGATAAGAATCCTTAGTGTGCTGCATAAAGAGCAGTAAGCTCCGAACCCTTGTCTCCCTAGCCAGATTCTTTCCTTCATCCTTCTGCTTTCACCACATGGGATGGCTTTCATTTTATCCAAGCCATCCAGGCCCGCTCCCTCTTTAGAGCCTTTGCACTCAATATTCCATATGTCTAGACTGCTGCTGCCCATCTGCTGTCACTTGCTAAATGCTAACTCGTTCTTCCAACATCACTCCCTCAGGGAAGTCTTCCTAGATTGCCAGGTTTATACTGGGGACATTTATCCTTCATCACATGTAAGTATGTTTACTCATTTTTGAATGTTACTTCCATTGCCTTGTACACTCTGTGATGGTTTCTGACTATCGCATCCACTGGTGCCCAGCACAGGGCCTGGTATCTGCTAGACATTTGGTAAATACGTGTTAGAGTCACACTCAGACCTGCTGATCCCAAATTTTAAGCAGAGAATAGCATATCCCCCACCCCCAATGAAGGGGACCCAAGTGCCCAGATCACTAAATGAAAAGAAATCAGGTTTTTGGCTTTTTTTGGCTTGGTAACTAAAGCTTAGAAATGAAGTTCTGAGCCAACGTGGCACATTTCAGCACTGTCAAAGGAAGTTTATGATTTAAAATTGTTAACAGTCAAATATGTAGGAAGCAGTACTTTGGCCCTTCTCCACTAGTGTAAAACTAATGTACAGAAAGGATTACAGTGGAATTTACTCAACTTTACTGTTTAAAATAACAAGAAACCATATTTCATGAACTTCCCTTGTATATGGTACTTTGGATAAGGGAGTGAGAGACTGAGGTGTTCTAGTCATGAGTTCTCAGCTTGTTAAAATGGTAACACAATTTAAAAAATTAGTACTAAAACTATAGTGAGAAAAATGTATCTTTTATTTAAAGGTTTGGGAAATACTGTAGCATTCCTCAAGACTTCAATTAATAAGGTAAGCACTTATTTATTTATTTGTTTAGTTTAGATGCAGAAGTGCTGGGTAAGAGAAAAATTCATTTGGCAAAATGCAGGTCGACATCTCACAGAATATAATTGGAAGAAAGTTGGACCAATGCCGAATACAAAGAGACATAGGAAGAACAGTTCACTCCTTACCTTTTCTGCCCTATAGTCTGGAGGTTTTCCTGGGCACTGGGAGCTTGTCTACACTGCTGAAGTCATCAGGATCTTGGCTACTGCCAACAAATGTGTCTGTCTCCTCTGGCAGTCTACTAAGGCAACTTGGGGAAACTTATTTTGGCAATGTGGAAACTTAGTTTTTAGAATCATTTCCCCAAATAAACATTTCACTTTCTTAATATAAAGACCCTATTATGATATATCTGACCTGAAATGCCTAATTCTTTTTTCTCTGGAATTCTGCTTGATTATGGGCAGACTCAACTCTAGCTTGAAGCCCTTTATCATCACTTTCTCTCAGCTTCTTATAAACTAGTATTGGCTAATATAGGCATTCTCTCAAATGCCAACATAGCACTTTATTTATTTTATTTTTTATTTTTTCCACTACTAGGGATTGAACTCCGGACCTTGTGCTTGCAAGACAGGCGCAGCACCACTGAGCTAAATACCTTGCTATGTAACATAACACTTCAGGACCTAGTAAAAGGTAAAAAAAATCCTCTCTTCATTACTTTCTCTTTTCTTTTTTTCATTCCTCTAGTTCATTTAAGATTCATTTACTGAGGGCACACTATGTGCCAGGCACTGTTTTAATCAATGGGGATACACAGTGAAACAAACAACACATAAAGTCCCTGTTATAAAACTTGCATTCTTGTGTGTCCTTTATATGTGAAAATGGAAAATGGTAGGAAATAGTGCAGTGGTTGATATGCTGGGAGGGAGAGTTAGACATTTCAAAGGAGAGACATATTTCTGAATTGAAACAATTTTCTTTCCAAGTTTGAAGGTTAGAAAAGCCAGTTGTTCTTAAATATGGTGATCTATTTCACATAACCAATCTGATGAGGATTTATTTGTAGAATACTGGTCCAAATTTAGAAAAGCCAGGTTTGAGAATCTGCACAGTAGTTTTCATGCTGACTTAGAAAAAAATGATTATTAACTAATTACTCCTGATACGATGTTTATCTAAATATGATGCTCCATTTTCATTGTGTCTGTCAGGTGGTTTTGTTCAGGTCTTTGTGAAAAGTCCCTTGAAAACAGGGTAATGTCTTAGTCATCTTGGGATATCCAGGGCTTTATGGAATGCCTCATATAAGAGGCAGGTATCTAATAAAATATTTTTATTGCAATAAAAGTTTATGTTCAGATTATTAGCAAGGTTGGTTTTCAAACTGGTAAAATAAATGGACTCATTCCATAGTTTCAGAAAACCATGATGTCTTCTAAAAATAAAATAAATGACTAAGCTTCTAGCTCTTTTTTAAATAATGCAAGACATTTAATAATTTAAGTATGGGGGCCGGGGAATACCTCAGTGGTTACACCGCCTGCCTCACAAGTGCAAGGTCCTAAGTTCTATCCCCAGCACCCCCTCAAAAATAATAATTTAAGTATAATGAGTCATTGTAAAATGACTTGTCTTTGTGGATATTTTAGCACTCAGTAATTCATTTTATTGTAAAACTATATGCATTAAATTTCATTCACAAATATATATAACAACTATATAAACATTACATAAATGATTTATATAACCATTTCATTTTGTGTAATTTCTTTCTGTGTCAAGCCTTTGGAGAGCTGGAGAGATGAAGGAATAGACACTTCTCTTATACTACATAAACTACTTGTCTCAGAGTCTAAAATCCAGGGTCAGCTTCATGGGTGTGAGACTTCATGGTGGGAGGAAATTCTGTGATCCTACCAATCAAAAGCATAACCTGTGCTATCTTTATATTGTAGAAGTTAGAAGTCCACAGGTATTGGTAAGTTAACATAAAAATAATGGTAATATCTATTATCATTATATTACATCAAAAGCAAATGATCCTAGAAGAGTTGATTTATCACTTAATTTACCTACATGGATTTAAAAATTATGATCTAGGCAAAACTTAAAATTCAGCCTCATATTTTTCTTCTTGAGCTCAAAATTTATTTAGAATATGAAAATTTCAACTTTCCCAAGAAAGTTATATGACTGAGATAAAAATTAAGTAATAACAGAGTTTATAGAAATTTCCATTAGCTACAAATGTAAAACGTTCAGGTAAATGGTACATTATTCAAGTAGGAACATTCTGTGTCAGACTTAGGTTCAACCCTTTGCTTTACTATTTACTATGAGATCCTGGGCAGTATATTTGATCTTTCTAAGCCTTAGTTTCTAGATTCAAACTAGCAAAAATAACACCCAATACAGAAGGCTAAGGTGGGATCAAATCAGATAATGGATGTAAAAGTTCTGCACAGAGTCTGGGGCATGATAAACATTCTACCAATGAAGCTGTTTTTATTTTAATCCATTAAATAGTTACCTCATTGACAGGAATAATGTTTTTGACGTTGAAGTAGAAACCAAAGTAAACCATGTTGAAAACTCCGTGACGTCCCAAAGTTGCTGTCAATCCTTTGTTGAGGCCTTGCAGTCCCAAACCTTCCTTCTTAATGATTTGTCTTGCATAAGCCAAAGTGGACGGTTGCTGAGGAGGGAAAATCAAAGCCAGAGAGATAATCTTTGGAACTGTGGAGTAAATCACAGCATTAGCTTCTTTTTAGGCCAGAATTAGTAACTTTTTCCCCCAGACATGAATAATAATGCCTAGATGTGGACATTTTAATATTAGAAAATACAAAAAGCAAACAAAATTGCATGCATATCAACAGGCTTTATAGGGAAGATTGTTGGCAAGGAAAACCATCTTTTTTAGAATCAGTGGAACTGATTCATGTGATAACTCTCACTACTTTCAATATGTGAATAATTGTATCCAGTTCTGGATTGTCCACTCTAATGGAGGGGATTAACTATACAGATAAATTACTAATCTATAACTACATATCATCTATAAGGAATTTATATGTGGGTTCTGAATCAAGGATATTACCTTTCTAATTATGTTTTTCTAAAGCTAATATTAAAATTAGTCTTGATTTCATTGCCTCAATGACATAAACTGGTGGTAGGTTACAAATCAGCCATGGATAACCAACCAGCTGTTCGTTGTACATATCACTCGCTGTGATAAATTACAAAGTCATGGTGTTAGGAGTACGAGGTTACCTTTGATTTATTCTTTTCCTGGCCTCTGATTGATTACCCAAAGCTGGCATACCTTGGCTGTTGGAATCCAATCTGTTTCTGCATTTGGAACTTGCTAAACAGCTCACTGCAGCTTGCTTTGAGGTTTATACTTTGTTAAAATACAATTACAACCATTCACATAGGTTTCCTAAGAATTATGACTGATTGTTTCCTCTTTAGAGAAGCTGCACAAAGGATATGTCTCCCTCTCACATTTTGACTGCATAGTAAATTGGGGAAAATGTTCAGTGTTTTTTTTTGGTTTTTTTGCCCATGAGCCAAGCACTGACATGACATTTGTTTGGTATTTTACTGGAGGAGGTTGCTAGAGTGGTAAAACAGTCTGTTGTGTTTTCAGAATAAAAGTGTTTTCTTATCATGCGCAATTAAGGCTACATTGGCAGAAGAGAAAGGAACAAATCAAATTTCATCCAACTTGTATTTATAGTTACATAATTAACATAATGTATTTAAACAAGCTTATTTATATAATACAAGTTTATATTTTTTGCTAATAACTTTTAAAACCTGTAGTTACAATTTGACACTCCATCTTTTCACTTAAGAGTATTAATTACAATGAATTACATTAAGCTTCAGGAAATCTTTCTTTGTAATATGAAATGCCATGTGAGAATAGACCTTGCAATAATAAAAGACATCTCATATAGGAAGACCAAAAATTCTCAGAAGGTTAAAGTTCACCCTGGGTTCTGTGACATGGGGCTTTTTTGTTTGTGTTTTGGTACACTTACTGTTAACCCAAATTATTTATATATATATATATATTTTAAATTTTATTTTATTGGTACATTTTAGGTATACAATATAAAGACATATACCACTGGAGATTTGCACCTTTACACAATCTCTCTTGGTTCTTATTTTTCCCCCTTCCCCTACCCTCCCTTCAACTCCTCCATCCCTCCCTATTTACAAAGATTTTGTTTCCATTTTTTCATTTTCTCATATTAATTCCATTCCCTTCTTTCCTTTCC